GTGTGATATACACCTCACATTCTATTTTGGATTGACTCATTGACTGGCACCCTTCACATACCTCATATTATTATAATGTGTATACAACAAGTGAGAGCCCCTAATATTAATATCTGATACTTGAAAAATATTGAATGAAATTAAAAAAATAACGGTCCATGTATGTCTAAGTTCTTCATAGTTTCGGTTCTTACATACTTATTATATGTATATTATAGATTATGAAATTATAAATTGCATTAATACTTAGAGTTTTTAAAAAGGTACTTACGTCTTCCTTGTTCAATGCAATTTGAAATTACATTGATACCTTGAGTTTTGAAAAAGGGACTTAATGATCATTAACATAATATTACGTTACAAGCATTGCTTCGGCTTTATTGTATCAGATGCGGGTATGAGCCATGAATGAATTTGGTTCTGGCAGGATATCCGGCTTTAATATGATCAGTTAAAAAAGTGTATGGCTGGATATCAACCGAAAGTTCAATAATTTTAAAGAAAAATTGTATTTTTTGAAAATTCGATTTGGAATACTCAAGTAAAATTCTGGGACCCAGGTCCTTACAGTCTGATCTCAAGACCTGTGTACATGTCTCGAGATCTGATGCCAGGTGAAAAACCCACATGCTGTGTTCAGAGCATAGGTTCTTAGGGTTGGATCAATTTCCGACCATTTCTGATCCAGCAGCCAAATCCCTTGACCAGAACTCGGTTCTTAGTCGTTTGTGATTATATCGAATGTGCTCTGTGGTCCATATTGACATAGCGTACCTTTATTCCATAATCTAGATCTTTAAAGCGGAGTACGAGTTACCAGGGCCGGGCAACAGCCCCTTAATAAAACAAAAGTTAATAAAACAAAAGTTAAATTTATTACCAATTATTCAATCAATACATATCATAAATTCTAATATTGGAAACACAATGCAGAATGGATGTCTTAAACTATAATTTTGTTGTCACTAATAATATATTTACTTTCAAAGTTGAAATTTAGTTAAGTATGAAATGCCACCACATCATAGTTAGGGTAAAATATAATTCTTAAAAATTTTAAAATTGAGAAGATTGCTCTATGACTTAAAATTTAAAATTTAGCAAAAGATATCTAATTTTTAAATAGTTGGTTACAGTTTATGACAGTACTGGCATGACCAATTATCTCTCAGCCAGTGGCGTAACATTGCCTGTTGGCACCTCACCCCTTATGGCGCCCCTCCCTAAAATTGAACAAATTAGATGATATGATTTTAGAGGATATGCCGGTACAATCTCTAAAAAAGTGTGTTTCTAGAGCAAAACGCGCAGTTTTGCTAGTACTTACTTAGCTTTGGTTACTTTGGTAGAGTTTATCCTCGTAGCAGGAAGGGTCATCAGATGTCTGACCACCTCAATGGCGAGTAGTCTACCAGGGAATTGGACCAGCTGTAGCTATAACCGGAAATCAGAGGGTTCAAGTCCGGTATCAGAGCAAGAAACGACTCAAAAGTAGCATCAGCTTTAATACTGTCAGGCACTTTGTTCCATAGTTTTGGTCCTCTTACAGCAAATGAGCTACCATAGAGTGTCTGGTTGCTCAAGGAACTCAACCTAGACAGGGAAGGGATGATTGCTCGGGAACCATGTCTGGATGTTATTATGAACCAAATATTGCTGCAATGGGGGGGGTGCCACTGTCCATTTTATCCCTGCACAAAAAAAACTGAAAAAAGACAAAGACAAAAGGGACAAAATGGACAAAAGAGACAAAAGGGACAAAAAAGATAATAGGGACAAAAAAGACAAAAAAGACAAAAAATCGGGGACAAAATGGACAAAATGGACAAAAAGGACAGAGACAAACGAGACAAATTGACAGGGACAAAATGGACAGTAAAGAGAAGTCGCTGATTTCCGATAGGGTACAGGGTGTCAATTCTTTATGCTTCCTGTGTCTGAGGAAGCGTTCCTTCTTGTTCCACAGTTGTTTACATTTAGCTTCTTTTTCAGTTACTGGGCTGCGCTCAGCTTGACCATTGTTAATGATTTGGCCCGGCGCGCACTACTTCGTAGCACTTGCCATCGAGAAGAAAGCGGCGCGCGCTACTTCGAAGAAATTTAGACGAGTAACATCCGTCAACGCTCAGCCTGTCATTCCGCCGAATCTTAATTCGGGCTGAGTAAATTACGACCTCCATCGCCCTGAAAAAAGTGCGAATGCTCATTGGATGTTACAGCACACGTGACTCGCATTCACGTGATCGTTCAGAACCAATTACAGCCGCGCAAAAGATCACGTGCAAGCCAACTACCAATAAGAAAGAAGGCGGGCGCGCGCTACTGCAAGCGCAAGGGCTCTGGATAGCTCCGTGAGGCGGGCGCGCGCTACTGTAAGCGCAAGGGCTCTGGATAGAGCAACCCCATCTTATGAACGATGGATGAACTTACAATATATTTTGTAGTATATTATATGTATTGATTATTCTGTGAAAAAATAAAATTCTCTTTTTCTTAAATTCTCTTTTTCTTAATTCTTGTTCATTGAAATATTACCGCCAGCGAGGAGCCGCAGCTGCAACTGCGAGCCGTGTTACCCACCTCCCTGTACTGTATTGTGATCAGCAAGAGTTTAATCAAAGTAATGTGTATCACTCGCTTCACTCCTACAACGCCAAGCTAGTAATATAATTGAGTTTTATGAAAGCACTCTGGCCAGGCCAGAGTACATGGAATTGGAAGTCAGTGGATTCTTTTTACCTTATTTTACCTCATCCCATTAAGGACCGCGCGCTGGGTAAGAATTGTAGGTTTACAACTTACCAGGACGCGCGCCGAGTTGGACTCGTCTGGAACAGATATTTTACGAGTATCACCCGTTAAGGTAAGAAGAAACCTAGCCAGAGTGGAAGTCGGCGCCCACATTAAATTTTTGGAGAAAATCGCTCGCCAAAATTTTTTGGACCAGGACGATGTCCTAGCCTGGCAGCTCATTGCGCGGCGCGTCGCAACGAGCTTCGTTGTTCGTCGACGTGCGACGAGCAACGAGAAAAATTGCGTGGCGCGTCGGGTGGCACATCTTAATGGGTGATACGCGTATAAATTTCGATCGCTGACGTACAGCGAGCAGCACAGCTGCGAGTGGCGTCAGCTAGTACGATTTCATCCTACAATTCACATCGCGTTCACCTAGCTAACCAAGTGCTTTCGCGCCGCTGCGGGCGCGCTTGTTCCACAAGTCATTCCCGCCTCCGGTGGTCGCGCGCTACTGCAAGCGAGAGGGCTATAGTTAGAGCAACACATCGCGCCACAAGCCAAATATTTATCAACATCTTGACTAGCTACGCGATCCTTTTCTGCATGCGCTCGCGCTTTGCTCAAGTTGCGCTCGTGTAAACTGAGTTAACGACCGAAATTTTCCCAATATGCAATAATTATTTTGCTTCTAAAATTCTTTGATAATTAATAATATATTGTAACATGTAATTGTAAGATAAAAAACCTCGCGCGCGCGGCGCTTTCATCTGCACCTGAGAATCTCTCGGCAATGTGTGGCTGTCTGCGCGGCGGGCTGTGTATTGAGTATATAGCTGAATTTAGATTTATATTTATTTATAAATGTATAATAATATTGAATATGTATTGGTTGTTTTGTGGTAAATAAAAATTTTGTTTTACTAAATTTTGTTTTACTCTACATTTGAGCTTGTCTAATTTTGTGTCTCATTTGTCCAAAATTTTTGTCCCTTTTGTCCCTTTTGTACCTAGTATTGTCCATTTTGTCCACAAAACACTGTCCTTCACAAAAAAATGTAAAAAAAGACAAAGACAAAATGGACAAAATGGACAGTAATACCCCCCCCTGCAATTGGGGCCAACATTGTGAACAACATAGTACTGTAGTTAAGTTTTTCGAAATTGTCCCACATCTAGACGATGATTTGGCGCCCCCTAAGATGGCGCCCCCTGCACAGCAAGAAAACAACAATTTCAAGAAAACGACAATTTTATTTAGTATCAGTTAAAGCAGACAAAAACATATTTTATAAATATAACTAGCGCAAACTTTAGACCATATATCTTAGGGGACTTGGAGTAGCAAGAGAGTGACCAGAAAGTATATATACTTTTACCAAAAATACGTCGAAAAGAATCCAGGGTGATACAGGATCGGAGAGTGCAGACCATAAAGTTTACGCGCCCACCCTTGCCTCCTGAATTCTTGGTTGGATAGACAATTTTGCAAAATTGGTCGTTTATACTCCAAGTCCCTTAGTTAATAAAAGTAGTATTATTTATGTCTGGAGTTAGCTTCATTCAATAATAACAATATCAATATAATCAATATTAATATCAATATCAGACTAAATTATCAAATAAATACTACTATCAACAGCGGGGTCGGCGGGGCCCTTCGTTACGCCACTGCTCATGCTCTCAGCTTAGTTTCCAATTGCGCTAAACAAAAACTGAGTCTTCTCTCAGCTAAATACCAACTTTTACTGATGAATTGTTTCAATCAGCTCCCATTTCACAACAACACAGAATACATAATATGTTCATTATAGTGGAACAGCATGAGATAAGTGCCAAGTGGAAATCAAACAAACATGATATAGACTTCAACTAACAAGATGTACATTTTATTTCAACCAAACATTAGTATTTTTCAAACCAATTTTAAAATAGTGGCAGATCTATATTACATCAAAGCTAAGTGAACTCAAATTTATGTTGAACATCCTGTATGATTAAAAGTATTAGAAGTTTATACATTAAGTATTACATTAAGTATTATATTACGCAATAATGAATGCTTTAATATAAAACGTTAAAGTGTCCTTGACAGTAACATTCTTCAACTTCAATTCAGGGCACGGGATCTTCAAAATATGTAACCCATTGAACTATCTATCAGTTGATTGACAACTTTTATTTCTTTTATTACTGGAGACTTGGCTGGTTGTTCCTACTATAGACTATGACCAGGATTTAAAATCTATTGGTTGCATAATTTCCATTTTAACAGAAGAATGATGTTAAAAGACGGAAGATCTGAGACTTTTGCTGTTGAAGTAAGTATTTTAAAACTTTAAAATTTTGTGAAACAAGAAGGGAGCTTCATTATATGGGAGTATGAGTTTTTACTAAATAATTTATATTGCTATTGGCTACAAAATATCTTCCTCTCAGACGATACAATGGATTGGAGACAGTGTTACAGTGCATGGAAACCAGACATTTTATAAAGCATTCTCTTTAAGAAATCAAGTGACAATGAAAAGTAAACTTTATAGCTTGGGAGACGTTGTCTATGTCAGGCACATGGATGACTACGAACGAGTAAGTTGAGACTTGAGCACATAGACCAACTACAAACGTAGCTGGAAATACAGTGGAACCCCGATTTATCTTAGAGTTTGGGGAAAGGAACATCTGCGGTAAATCAGAGGTTTTCGGTTAATCGGGGCATGGTTAATTGGGGTTTTACTGCTGTTAAATTTGATTTGAAGCCAATTTAGAGTTACCAAAGTTGAGTAAGGAACGGAACTTTCATTGCAGAGATTCTATAGCCCTGATTTTCAGTTACCATTTAATATTATATAGTCCCTTGCTGTTGTAGGAACTGAAATACCAAATAGAATTATAAAAATAGCTACGTCATAATGAATTATCCTCAGTGATGTTTTGTAAAGCTATAGTGCATATAAGGGGGGGATATAATAACCCCGATAATCGATATCTTTCTAAATACAATAATAATTGGTAATCTAAACATACTATTTATTTACTTTACGTTACTTTCAGATGAGTTTTTTAGAGATCTACATGTTGTGGGAGTTAAAAGGTGTAAAATATCTTAGTGTCAGAGCCTACTACTTTCCTGAGGATACAGTTGAAGGAAAGTTCCCTGAACAAGGCCAGGTAGGCTCCTTTACTTCTGAAATATTACACATTTTGATTTGCCCAAATATACTGTAATTTCTTATTTGATGGCACAAGAAATACCGGAAACATTGTTAATTAATCATCTTAACCTGTTATCGTACACTTTTGATACCTGTACTATATGGACCGACTGTAATGTCCGTTAACATGATACAAGCCTCTAATCGCATTTTTCACTTAAGGACGAAGTGCTTTGTTTGGAAGGAGAAGTTGTAATGACTTGCAGAGAGTTTCTACAGTTCGTAGCCAACACTCATCCTGAATCAAAAGGTCTGTGGAGTGTGTTACGAAGTTTTATGAACAAGACAGTATTTATTAATTTATCAGTTAATTAATCCGGTTAATTTCATCAGTTGAACTTTTAAGTTTGTGCAAGATTATCATTTTAATTAACACTGCTAGGTGTTAATTACAAATAATTAACAAGTCTTTTTGCAGATTTACCAGAACCGAAGATATTAAGTTTCCTGGGCTATTGCCGGAGTTGTGCTATGAGAAGGAGACTAGGGGAGCGGCTAGTGGACTACGTTTCACACCCGCTCTTTAGCGCGCTGGGTGGTGTTCATCCCCGCTTCAGGATCTTATTTTGTAGAGACACAGTTCAAGATAGGGAGCTTTACAAGCTGTGGAAATGTCAGAATTATTATAGAGGTTGGTTGTTTTGTCAGACTGTTAGAATCACGAGAGTTTAAATCAGATAAACAGACGGGAGTAGAGTAGGAGCTTCACTAGCCTTTTTACTTTTAAAACGAGTTTATGTAAATATTGTAACAGTTAAAATGTTAACTCGAGCGGCTTTGAACTATTTATCGAAGCATATTTAACAAATTTTAATCATCCGCTTTATTCCTTACTCGACGATTTGTTTTCCGTATGTTTATTCAATTTTAAAATTCAATGTTTATTTCAGAGGTGCCAAGTAAAAAGCACGCTTCTTCAAGAAAGAGGATAAAAATTAACCTATCAGAAAGCAATGTATGTTTCAATATCTTTGCATAATTGTTACGTATCATCTATATGATAGGATAATAGTTTTGCAACAATGCGTGTGTGTGTGTGTGTGTGTGTGTGTGTGTGTGTGCTATGTCTCTATGTGTAATTGTGTGTAATAATCATTAAATTTGATTTCATTACATCGCTACTTTAACCTTCAATCATTGTTTGATTTTTCTGAGAACTTTTAAAATATTCGCAGGACGACAGCTCAATCTCAGACGCTGGGGAGAATCCGTACAAAGCTAATGTGAGTATGATTATTCCAAATATGGTATGATTATTGTATAATCGCAATAATGACGGTTTCTTATCAATGGCAATTATACCGTGCCATTCTGCATCAGCGCAAACTGCACTGTCGCTCCGGAAGACCTTTGTAATTAAAAAGTGTCACAGTTTCTCTGTTAATAATTAATGAGCTGGGTGCTGTGCGATGCACTATGAGGTGAGAGAGAGGGAGATAGAGAGAGAGAATAATGGGCAAGGATTTAAATGTAAACAAATTTCATCGCTAAAAAGTTACGGATATCAAGAATCATGATCTTTGTGCAATGGAAAAAGAATGTACATATTTATGAACTGATATTACTAAATCGTAGAAAAATAAGATGTTACATTTTGGAGTAAAGAAAACGAAAGTAACATGTATTTTATCCACCCAAAGAAATCACGTACAATAAATACACGCTAATTTGAATACAGTACATCAGCTGGACGGGTACCTAGGTACCTATTCATGATAGCATATTACTAAATATGAACGTATAGTAGTAGCAGGACTAACACTGTACTAACTAGGAACACGACCAGTTAGTGGCCGTGGAATGCAGTGTTTCCCGTAACAACGTCTCTTAACCGTCTGATCAAAGCTACATCTGATAACAGAACTGTAATTCCATTCCTCAAGCATGCAGTAGGGCGCGGCAACCTCGACAAATATCCCTGAGCTAGTGTTACATTGTTGTTTCAACTTGGCTTCCATACCGATAACAAATAAGAGCCTGCTGAGGGCCAGGCATCAGCAGGCAAAGCCACAAATAAAGTTCAGCTTTTTACACCGGAGACTGAGTTTTAGCGGCTGTGTTAGGATGTTGGTTTTGTAGTGGAGCAGTGTAGGTCAACTGGTTGGGGACAGGGAACTGTGCTGGGTACTGTGCTGGGAACTGTGCTGGGTATTGCGGAGGGTACTGCTGAGGGCACTGCGTGTGCGGAGGGTACTGTGGAAGGGGCTGTTGGGAAACTGACTGTTGTCCTCCTGGCTGTTGGGGGTGGTAGGATACCTGGTCTGGTGCTGTGGATGTTGGCATGTTACCAGGACTGTTACCAGTAGCTGGCACACTGCCAGGATGTACTGTGTTCTGTATCACTACCCCACTTTGTTGCTGTGAACTCCCTCTCTTACAACAGCCCTTACCCATCCAGTAACAACAACAACAACAAGCCAGGATACTCACCACAACTCCCACCACCACACAGATGATAGCAATGTACAGGATAGATAACCCCGCCTCCACCGCCGCCCCCCAGTCAGTACAATACGGGCTTCCACTCCACCCGTCCGTATCACAAGTTTGTTGCTCATCACACCATATCCCAGTTTCCCAGGTATTCACACCGTCCTCTCCCACGTACAGACACGTGGCATAGTTTTCATACCACGTGCCAGGCATACAGAGGTTCCGGGACTGATCACACCACACCACGGTTCCGTCATAGTTGGAGCAGTACTGCGGGAAACAGAACTCCGTCACTGCTAGCCAGGGTAGAGCTGATAATAGCAACAAAAACAACATTGTCAGGGTATGAGCTGGTAAAAATCAACAATACAGGAACTGTACTGAGTGAATTAAAGGTGTCTTGAGTGGATTGCTTTGTTGGTTAGATTCTAATGTTTCCATGGAAACCAATATGCTTGCTCGTAGTAGTAATTTAATATTTCGTTGTTTAATCCGTTTGTTGCATACGAAATCTTATCAGTATGCGCATATTTTATGGGTATATCTTGGGATAAATCAGGCAACCATACTCTAATCATCGATTAATCTGTTATTAGCTAATGTACTTAAGATGGAATAGATCGCAAATTGTATTTAGATGAATCGAGAATAAAAATACCGTTGAGAGAAAAAGAAAAATGTTTAAAAATTAGAAAGAAAGTCGAAACCCTTCAATTGTAGCGTAGTGAGCAAAATATTAAAGGTGTGAAGTTTAATAAGATGTGAATTTCCAGCATCATTTATTCATTTAATTCCAGCTTCAAAATGATTGAGTGAAGAGATAGGATTTGATACCCACGATCACGTCATAATGGTTCAGTGTAATTCTGTAGAATACTAAAATGCTTTATTTAATCTGTGTAAAATATGCAGTGTGATGCGGTGTTAAGGAGGACTTATTGTGTGTGTTTAAATAGTGAACTGATAGTATAGCAGTGATTATTAATGTGATTATTTGATGAGGTATTAGTTTCATGATAATGAGGGTTAAAACCCAAAAGTCTTAATATAGAAATGGAAAGATAGAAGAAATGGAAGGAATAAGGTTAAATTCCATGCACGTGATGAGAAGTAAAAGACTAGATGTGTAGGGTTATCGTTCAAAAAACACAATAAAATCAATCTAATCATCTGTTAAGTAATAGTTAGTGTGATTTGATGATCCCATGGTATAGATTCAAAATTACTATAATGGTCACTGACCAATTAATAGTCAGTCTGAGGACCCTAGTCCTTAATTTATCTAATTAGTACATGCACTAATTAAGCTACAAGTAAGTATCGATACCGTATATTTACCACAACATAATAATAATGTTACTTTTGCTTATAAATATGTCTACAAGTTATAGTGGTTAACATGTTTCCTGGGAATCACCACAAAGTGTTTGTTACCAAGTTCAGGAGACTGAGCAGACAACCTTCCCTCACTCCCGCTCTCATGTCTGCGCTTGCCACGTGACCCCTCGCCACGTGACCCCCCGCCACGTGACCCCTCGCTGCTGGTCCTGACACGTGATATCAGCCCCGGACTAACATTGTCTGCGCGCACACGCTTGTAGCAAGTTGAGTCCTCGCTCTCGTAAGAGGAGTGTTCAGTGTCATTACGGACTCTACTGACGGTCTTGTTCTCTAGCACAGTTCCCTCTGCTCGCTTCAGTCCGTCTAGTCTATCCAGTGTACTCTCTGTAACTCTACCAATCTCTTTCAAGCTCGTCTCCTGTCTGTTGGTCTGCTGTTTTCTGGAGACCCTGCTCACAACTGTTCTTCCAAACTTCTTTAGGTCCTTGATCCTCACCAGGTAGATGATAGCGTTTACCATAGAGTTGAGGTTAACTGTATGAGTGAAGGTCAGGTTGTTTACCAAAACCGTTTGCTCCTCTGTCAGCTGCATTTTATCAGCGTAGTTAAGTTTGTTCCCCGAGAAGATGGCTATGCAGTATGCTAGGACTAGCGCGCAGAATGGCAGGTTGAACATGATGTAGGTTATTGTTAGCATGATAATTGTAACTGTCGCTTGCCTCTTTCTGTCACTCATCCCACTGTTCCCTGAAGTTAATTATAGATTGACGCTTAATTGGGTAGGCTTTGTGGTCCTAATACTCACTGGAAACGGTAACTAAAACTTAAGCGCGGTATAAAGTGAGTGAAATATATAAAATATTTAGAAATATTACCGAGCTGAGGGTTCTTAGCCCAGAGATGTCGACAAGAGAGAGCACAGCTGGTCACAATGAGAATTGCAGGGACAATATACTCCACTGGAACTAGGATAACATAGAGAATTTGTATTGCTACCCAGCTTAGGCTTGTATCTGCAAACTTCCAGCCGCAACCTGTTAGAATTGTTTCAGTTACAGTTTTCTTTACCTGATTCATAAGGAAATATGATTTCATTTGATTCTATTTGATGTTATTTGAGATCGTGCTTGATTTCAATAATCTAAGAGTAACAAGACAACTCGCCTAGAACGCTCTCAGTGAAAACGTATGTGGCTCCAAACCAAAAAGGCAGAGTTGCCTGCACAATCTGTATGACAGTGTATATCAGTATCGGAACAGCTGTCTCCTTCCTACTAATGTGACGGAGAGGGTAGATGAGGGATACAGTACGAGAGATACTGAGAACTGCTATCAGATAAACTGAGAGACGGGGGGCTATGTTCCATAACATACCGTGAGCGTTGCACAGAAAGGGGCTGTTAAATAGAACCTGGAACAATAGTAATGCGTTGAAGATCTGGTGATTCGATAATCAGGGAAAGCTGAAAATTCTACGTGTTTTTTATATTGTAGTAACTTAGTAAGTAGATCTAGTACGTTATTCAGAGACTGATATAATAAAGACTTGTCGGAAGATCAATGAATTGTAAATTATTACCGGATTGCCTGAATAGAAGCTGCTCAAAGCGTTGAAGAAACTAAGTCCACAGATCGTAACATCTACCGCATTGATACACAAGTTTAAGAACCTGCCCAAGATTTATCTATGAAGTCCAAGTTATCAATTAAAATATTTACTGAATGCATGTATAAGTGGTCACGTGTAAATTTTCAGACTAAGCCTAAGGAGTAAGGAGTAAGGAGTAAGGATGAGACAACATTATGAAATTATGAGAAGTCAGTTAGTCAGTAGGAACTAGAATAGTAAAAAGTCCGAACCTGCTGTTTGACCGATCTTTCTTACACAAGAAGTAGAGCAGCACAAACAAGTTGAGGGGTGTTCCAATGATGAACTCTACGGTAGAGAGGGTACTGTAGAGTATGTAGTGGTAATGTGGTAACGTGCTCATCTTTTAGAGACTCTTGATGGAAACTACATACTATTTCAGCAACATCTACATCTAGATAGTAGTAAAGTAAAAACACTATGTTACTCAGCTACATCTAGATAAAACTGTATTTTTATCAGGATCTACATGGTATATTCTAGACGTGGTCCAGATGTTCCACGACCAACACATTGTAGTACCCTCAAATTAATAAAACAAGTACAAAGAATATAATGCAATTAATACAGGACTTCAAATCAGATTCATTAGATTCGTGAAATGTTCGCCATCATTTAACAAAAACATATTGAAAAGCTCCAGATATGCTATGCGACGAAATAACAAGATTATTGTAACATCACTTGATCACTTCATCTTATGAATTGAGAAAGAGTGAGTTTATATCATTTATCCTAGATATAGCAGACCCGTGCTGTATGCTTGATAAACCTAATCTACGCTAGAATAGAATCATACAGTTCACGGTTCAGTGCGACCATTATATCACAAATCACTCTCATAACGTCTAACATATAGCAAGAACGCACCACCTGAAACGGGAACTCCAAGTTTGTGACCAACTACTTGCGGGTAAACTGTGATTACAGACAAAAGTAACCAGCCTAAAACCGTCTGACCAACCCCCGCTGGACGCTAGCCATGTGGCCGTTTGACTAACCCGCGCTGGACCTTAACCATGTGGCCCACATATTTTAAAGGCTGATTATTTGATGAGGACTAATGGTCCCTGCTCTCCCGTTACCAGGCTACAAGTGTCCTCTAAAAGGGGCCAGCTTGTTGTCGACACCTGTAACCCTGATCACCCGCTCTCCTTCACTCTTACTTCTCTGTCTGTAAGAAAGTTATACCGGCTAATGGGATAAGTGTTGATAGGTCCCAGACCCGCCTTTCTGGTAGTTCTTTTAAAGAGTTGGTGATTAAATCGGGTGCAGGGCTGTAGAAACGGAGGGATGTAGTTTTATTGCTATGACTGTGATTAGGCAGAAACACCCTAAAGCTTTCACCACTCTTATCACTTGTGATTCAGTGCCAGCGCTGGTTGCGTAACCTGTTTTGGACTAGTCGGTTAATGATGTCTTCACTTAAGTCAACAAAATATTTCATGAACAGGAAATCAGGTGGAAAATCTTAATATGGCAGAAAGTACCATAAAACCATCCCGGCCACCTCAAATGTAAGATATTCAGCAAGTCATTAGTCAGCTGAAATAATAATATGGTATCGTGATACGATCTGATTCAAAGGTTAACTAAAACCTAGAAGCCAGCAAATAACTCGTACCAACTTGTGAACTGGAATATGTTTAAGAAAAAGTAATGCTTCATTAAACTTCAAGACAACTGTCAGCTATGGCCTGATTTTCATGTCAAGAAGAAGAGCGGTAACTAAGACAGGTAACTGTTCGGTAATAACCGTGCCTTCTGGCGAGCACGACTTGCCAAGTGACTTGTGCCACGACATGACACGTGACCTGTACCACGTAACCACTTGTTCTCTTTAAACCAGTCCTTTAGTTCTCCCAGTTACTCAGTTAGTCGCCAGCACAGCTCGTGACTTTGACCCTTATTGTGACAATGTAAAGTTAACAGAGCACTAAACTGCACGTGGTGACAGAACGTCTATATTTATACCAGGTATTAGTTCTGGGGTATTGTTGGGAGCTATCAGGTGTGCGTGTGTAATCTTATTATTTGGTATCTATTACTGTGCCCTCCTAAATCGTAATATGATGTACTTTTAAGCTTTGTTAGAGCATTTATCATTACAAATATCTATAAATAGAGTAAGACATCATTGCAAGTTTAAGTATAATATCTTAATACTTACCAAAGGTCATGCCAGACATGTTTTTAAAATAATTTTAAAGATACAGATATATGCGTATCATAACTCCACTGGTTGGTAACTATCTGGAAACAATTTAGATTATATGATGTGTACACTAGCTATTGTTGCTTTATAGGTCATGATGTATTGATGTTACTTGACTACATTTTCCTGCGAAGATAAAGAAACATAAAGATAGTCATTACTCATTATCATTACTCATTATACGCTGGCCTTTGCCCCTCCCAGGCTCTTACATCACAAGTTCTTATTCATTATTCATTATGCTTGCAATCCTCGAGAGTCGACACACTTACAATGTTTTAAATGTGTCGGTACTAGTATGCCAATCTAGGTACACGCGTACCTAGGTACGCTAGGTACACGCCTTCTTTATGAATAATAATATATTGGTAATTCATTGCAGTAGTAAGCTTGGATGACTATCTCATATACTCTTATGTACCCTTCCGAGCACGAAAAATGAATGCTTTTGATTCTTGATTTAGTAGCAAGCATAACTATTTAGATGCTAAGCTAATTTCAGATAAACTGGATACTAAAACTTGTGCTGTGCACTTATTAGCTTGGTGAAGTAAGTCTGCTACGATCCATTTAGCCGGGCTTTTACTTGATGTTGTCTTTCCTTTACAAAGACTATTTTATACTTTCAATATAACTATTATATAATACAACAACTGATATGAGTGGATCTGATGAAGCTATTGTTACAAATCAACATAATTCCTAATGACATTAAAATGTCGTGCCATTTGCCCGACTTTCTTTTGTCAACAGTTAAACTGGAGATAATCTGGTGAACGTTCATTACATCTCATTCAGCTGATAAACAATTGCCCAATCATTAAACGGTCCATTATTCCATCGGTCATAACAAAAAATCCAAATAGGTTTATTTGTTTGAACTGTTTGACTTGATATAATATTCAGAACCAGTTGGAGAATAAAAGGATGTGTTTACTCCGGGACTCTGTCCGTAAAATGCCTGTCTCATTAGGGGTCGTTCACATATTACGTAATCAATATTTTAGCAATTTCTACAGTTCTACCCCCTCCCCCCTCCGTAATCAACCGTAATCAAGATCCACCCCCCCGGCCCCCTCCTCCTGACAGCAAAATATACATGCCTCATTATAAGAAGCCTCATGGAGATACACTTTATAACGCAGACAGTTGTGGATAGTTTGGATTATATGTAATGCTATATAGAGGTAGCTCTGTTGTTAAATATTAAAAGTGTAATAACACCTCATCGTACTATAATTTGTACACAGATTAGACTCATTATCAGGCATTTAAAACCGTTCCATTGAATCAACATGTAATCGTGGGTGTATCATTTCCAACCGGTTCACTTAATCTCTGATTCCATGATGGAATTGTTATAATGACAGCAATACTCATAGCTTAATTAGCAGTATTGCTTACTAACTTTGTTTAGAAAATGAGTAAGTTATGTTTGTAAACACTTAAGGCTAATTTCTTTTAAAAAGCCATAACATAGTCCTGCGATCTAATAAATTAAATTATCAAAACAACATAATTTTCTCTGGATAACGATAACTAACGCCCGGTCTACAATAATGGCATGATTATGAATGATTGGTAATTCAGTGGTCGTACCTTGTAGTACACGTAATATACTGGAATATGGTTATCAGTTTAACGTTTACAGCTCTAGATTCATACTGGGTCGATTCTATTTTAATGTCTGATCGAGATAAAAGCGTCACTGTCAAATTAAACACATAAGTTAATTTAATAGATTGCAAACATTAGTAGATAATGCTTGTTTATTGGTGTCTAAATAGGAAATAGTGTACAAAACATAGTGTAAAAGCGTAATCTTTATATTATCTGCAAAGAATTCTCCGAATAATTCAGTTTAATTGAGCTATTATGACAGTGAAATAATACCACCACCATGTTTCACATTTATTAAAATCAATAACTGTAGCTCTTGTGGAGGAAAATGTGTCCTGAAGTATCTTCATATAGGGCCAGACCTCAACTATAATTACTCACCAACTAATTACTACTATTGTAGTAAACTATGCTAGAGGTTAATCACGTAGAATGTACCATGATGCTGCACTGCAGATATTATATCACATGTATTTAGTAAAACCTCTTTTCAGGGTAAAAGTAGAAGAGGTAAGGGGTCGATACGAAACTCAAAATCAAACTGTTCTCGCGGTAAGTTTTCTTATATTTCCACGTGTTTTCAGCTTATTAATTCCCCATTGACACGCTCACTTAACACAAATTAAACTACATTTTCACTTTCCTTCGTCACCTTTTATTTTAACTCATTCATTGAGTTATTTGCACACTTACTTGCACTAACATGCAAACCTCGTACGGAGATCAAAAGAATTAATAATATGGATATATTATTATCAACAAAATTAATTACACCAATCTTTCAGCGTCAGATAAGCAACCAGCTGTTCATCCGATAACAGAAATAACTGAGGTAAGATCTCACATAAACTTACATTATTCAAACATATTCATACCTAGATACTAGGATATATTCAGTAGTTTTGTTAATGCCTCGTAGCATAGCATATGTCACTAGAAACATGACTTTAAAATTATCTTAAAGACAGGGCGGTGTCTGAGTTAAAAATGGAAGCTCTAGCCGATAGCTAACTGTTAGCTACAACGACATGCTCAAAGGTGTCTTTCTGTACTTAGTAGCATATTTTACGTTTAAGTAAGTGGATAACTTCCAAATTGTTATGGTCATGTGGTTGGTCGGGTGTTGAAAAACAGTTATAGAAGAAACACTAAAATTAAAAAACCGTTTACCAAGGTGTTTAAGGTAACGGATTCTTGTTGAAATATGTGACGCGCACCAACGTAAAAATATTTCTCAGCTAGTTTAAAATAAAGATTTAAAACCTCTATTTTATAAACTTTACATTCGCTTGTCCAGCATTTCTTCTTTTAAAAATACCTGAACAACCACCCAATCATCAGCCACTATTCTTGTAAAAATCTACATTCTACGATGAAATGTTTACTAATTTTTGTCATTATCAGTAAATATATGCACCCCATATTCAGGACATATTTTCAGGAGGAATGCGAGGTGGATGTTGAAGACACCAAAATACATACAGTAATTAGCTCTTCGAGAGTACTGGCAAACAATACACCTCAACACTCAGTACATCGTCCCCCTGAACCCACCAACTCGGTACGTTTTGTCTGTTGAAGAGCACCCCTCAGGGCTCTTCACGGGGCCAGGAGTAATCCACTTGAAAATGATGTAAGCCAATAAGGACAAAAGCGGCAGCACGTGGTCTGGCTATTGCTAGTTTTGGCAATAAATTGTAGGAGGACTTACGCGCACGTACGCGTTTCTAAGGCGCGCGGTATAGATCCGACGTGACGTAATTTCTTTTATTAAAGCGCGTGCTCTCGGCCCCGTTCAGCTTTTAATTCATATCAGGCCCTATTGTCTCAGAGTGCTGCCGGAGGACAATCCAATCTTATGCCGAATGTAAAAGATATAAAGCTACCAACCAACTTCCTTTCGACTCAGACTACACCCCAACAACTTGACATAATAGTCAGACAACTCTCACACGAGCTTACACGCATTCAGGAAGCGAAAAACACCCAGAGAAAAGTGAAGTATTTAATGAAACGGTGACTTTTTAACTGTTAAATTATCTGGAATATTCTTGAATTTTATTGGATTATTCCTTATTTTAGGTTCTTATTTCGTTTATTGTTGCTATATATCTCTTTAAACTACTTTTCATTTAGATAGAGGATACCAATTTTATCCTACGATTTTGCTATACAGCACAATTTACTATCAACTTGTTTACAGTTATTATTTCATTTTAATTTAGATCTTGAGTTATTCTGAATTATGATATCCTACTTATTTTTCTTATTTGGTATGAATGAGATTTTTGTCGCTTTAAATAAAAGATGGGGATTTGTCGATTTTTCTTTTTAACGTAAACTGTAAGTTTCAGACTACTTTCCTTTGTAAAAACATTTTCAAGCAATCAAGCTGCATTAAAACAAATTTTATGATTTCGTATGTTGTTCTTATTCACTGGTCTCCACGCAGAGTTATACTGCATTCGGCTAATATCATTGCAAGATAATCTTGTCCATTTTGGTGCAGATTTTTGATTTTGGTCTAATGAAAAAATGTATAAATCTGATAAAGCTACAATTCTGCATATTTTTGGAGTACAGATAGTTTTTAGGGCTGCACTGTAGAGAATTTTGCCAGAGTTATTCCATCCATTGATTCGAAAATGTGACCTACTGTCATCTCCATGCTCACCCAGTCAATTTATTGATTAAATGACAAAAATCATGAGGATTGTTTGATCTCTCCATTGCAATGGTGCCGATGGCAAAACAACGCCCAATTTTTTAAATATCCTCCCACTTTCATGGTGCCGAAAATGGCAAAACATGCCGAAACAACCAAATTGGCATTTGGCACTAATTATGATGGCGAATATTTTGTAATCTCCGTGAAAACAAAATCAAAAATATCTGGAATAAATGGCGACGACATCCTCAACCATGCAATGTCACTAGTGAGTGTAACCAGGTTCCATTTTGAGGTTTTAAAGTTATCTTTTTGATCAGTATGTAATCACTATCATTAGTTTAAATTGGATGTTTTAATAAGAGATGTTCTAGTGTGAATATAATGCTTAGCTAGTTTGGATATATAATGCCATATGGGGTCGTTCACATATTACGTAATTGTTCAAAAAGTGATTACGTAATATGTGAACGATCCCGTATGTCTATTGTCTAGCAGAGAAATGTAATTTGATTAAAATGCTTTCTGGTGCTATTGTTTAACTTTCTTTGTGAGATATTTGTGGACTATCTCTCCCTCCTACTGAATTTTTCACATTGTTCTGTTTAATTGAAGATAATTTGATAGCGAATTATACAATGGAAAAGTATGAGAGTTTCTTTTATTTGGATTACATTCCGTGACAAAGTAAACGCCAAATATTACGGCTGAATTTGGAAGACAACTTGATTGTATGATGTAACTGTCATCTTTCATACAAGAAAATTAAATCTCTACAAGCCGCCCATATGACAGCAAATCATCTACTAAAAATATCTACATTCTCTATAAATAAAATTCAAGGTAACATCCAGCCCCAAACCAGTCTTTTAAAACAGATTTTATAGACATTTCAACTCTTCAAGCTTAAAGAATTCAGACATATCTAGTTTGACACCAGAACTTAGGTATTTTACAGTCAGAACTCTAGAATTATAAATACACAGATTTCATGATACCAAATTTCGTTGGAAAGATCCGTGCAATACTAAGGGCTAATGGTACTGATCTGGAAGTTTTTACTCAGTCAAAATAAAGCTCCTTAGGGGTCGTTCACATATTACGTTATCACTTTTTGGGCCAATCTTAAACCCCCTACCTACCTCCTCCGTAATCAGTTTTACTCATGGCTATTGTGTTAAAATTAAACTATCGTAATAATTTAGAAACCCCCTCCCTCCCCCTCACTGATTACGTAATATTTGAAGTTTGAACGACCTCTTATAACATATTTTACTGTCATCTATCGAATAATCGTTGCCGTATGAAAATCATTCCAATTTCATGCAAAACCAGCTTAATTGAACCCTCCTGGAGACCAATATAAGGCCAGCAAATATTTAACTACGCGTAAGACAGAGGACTGACTGTAAAAACAAATGGGTGGTACCTTATATAATGAGCAGTACCTTACATGGACTGATGGGGCTGCGTCATCCGCTCTAGGCACAATCAAAACCCAGTGCCGTCCGCACTAAAACAGTGTTTAATAAACTGTCATTTAATTAAAGTTATTTCAACATACTTTCTGAAATTGTAAACTCTATACACTAAATTAAAAGAGCATCGTCCAAATTAGAGGTAGAAAGAAATGTTCTCTGATTATTCATATACCTGAATACGCATGACAGCTTCAACTGCTATTTTCTTGAAATCATCTATCCGTAATATTCAACCCCGTGAAACCTTATCTCTAACAAAACGATTAAAAAATGAATTTTCTCTAAAATAAAGTAACAAAAATATATGCCTTTCTTTTTTCCCGAGTGTTATTTACATTTGTCAAGGGTTTATAACTAAAACAGTACACTGTGTCCACAGTAAGCCCTCTACCCAATTTTTCGCAAATGCGTAGGAGTTGAAAGATCTCATTATTACTGACAAGCTATCGTTGCACAACTCCCCCTCTTTTCCTCTGTAAAACTTGATAAACCCTCGACATATCATGGAAAAGCAACAACACGTGAATATATCGTGAACTTGTACACATTACAAAACTTGGCACAACATTATAATCCCTCTATCAAAGGGTTTTACTTGATCACATCTTTATTCTTTACGTTAATAAAATAAAATGTTATCATCAACTATCGTTAGATGAGTCTGAATACATCCGTTCAGACTATGTCAAATCAGTTCCAGGTTCTAGAAAATCTATTTGAGATACATGCCACGTGCAACAATATATCCTTCTTATATCGCCTCAAAACAAGATGTTGGAGATACACCCGTCCCAAGCAAGGTTACGTAAAGCGATTGTGCTAAAGAACAATATCAGCATCAGCATTTCGGTCAACTAAACCCCCCCCACCCCCCAGCTAGGAGGCTGATCTGTGGACGATATTCCCAAGGGAATGATCGAAATAGTTCAAGATAAAAATTAATATAGGATCAGTGATAGAATCAAACTACAAGGTCAGTAACCACTACTCATATCAGACTCGATAATACACAAAATTCAATACATTCCTCTCTTATTATTCAAATTAACGCTTAAAGTTCCCTTCTATGATCTTGAAAGTGGATAAATATCTTTAGTATTACAAGAGGCTCACGCAGTTTATGAACATGGGCCAAAACTTATTGACAGGATTTAAATTAATAACTTAACATCTTTAAAAGACGTTGATTATATATCAAAAAACGCTTTTTTATACTCTTAATTTTAAACATCTTAATTAAACTCTAGATTAAGGAAATCAAACACTAAACAGGAGACCTGGAACTTTAATCTGATAAATATTTTCTCATATATAAACTCTGGAGCTATCTGTAAACACGAATATAATCTGAAGTTGAGATGACACATTGAATAGAACGTGTCACGTGCCGTGTATGCTATTACTATTAGTAAACCGTGTTCCTTCTTTTTATTGAAATAGACCGTAGTGCTGTGTGCCGCGGTGTGAAGCGTTTGCGAGCGAAGCTTCTTCAGTCTTCACCGTAATTTACACGCACAACGTAATTTACACTTACTCCACAAGCAAACGCACCAAATCAACCCAGTCCGTATCACATTTTAAAACAAATTTATCACAATATACTCTGTACACCCATTAGAACCACTGTCATCAACTTATCTATCAACTTTACTATATAACCGATATATTTTATGTCGAGCAATGTATATAATCTTAAAAACACAAAACGCTGTGATTCAATAAAATGGAGAAGGCCTGAACTGTTTAAATTTCTTCTTAAAACACAATACTTGAAACACCGTTTGGTTGACTCTCTGTAATAACTTAGAATAGAAAAAGGTTTTAGTGGTAAGGTGACGCTCCCTCGTGTCAACTCACATTTAAAAGAAACGAGTCCGCTAGTTTTAATCCTCGCTACACCGTGTCACTGGTCAGTGGGTACTGCAAGAACTCGTTCACTGGACCCTGAAATGTTACCATCATTTAGTTGTAATGTCAGGAAATATAATCAGGGTAATCAGTATACTATAATTAGGATAATTAGACCCGTCATTAACCTAATTATACCCGTTATAGGTGTAAGGATTATTTGCAGTGCAATTGAAACCCGATCTACGCATAACACCTCACCAGCTTTCGGTGAAATCTACACAGTAAAACCGAGATTTATTACTCTTTGTATGCATCACTGAGCTAGCGCTTCACTTGCACCGCACTACATGACACTCAGGACTCAGTTACTATAAATAGAAGCAAGTACTCCTGTACTCTCAGCACCGAGTCAGAACAAAACCTAGAGTGCACTACTGTGTTCAGGAAACTGAGCCGCGCACAGACACGGTCTCCAGACAACAATGTTGGCAAACACAAATAGTATGTGTACATTTTACACTTAGTGGTGAAGTGTGTGTGAAGTGTGAGAAGTATGTGTACATTTTACACTTAGTGGTGAAGTGTGTGTGAAGTGTGAGAAACAACAAAGGGACAGATTAGGGACATAACGATCAAATTCTGATGAAATTACGCTAGACTATATTTTAAGCGTGTAGACATGTAATTAAGATTGTCGAGGAAGCAGCCCTTGCGGATCAACACCACCAACACATTTCACGGCAGTAAAATATTTAAAATATAACGCACAGTAAAATGACTCCGAACATGCAAGAGGAAATAAAACTTTTCGTCACCTTTATGTGCTGGACCACATCAAAGAAAGGAATGAGGTCGAGCAGTTCAGTGTCAGTGTCGTCGTCAAACCAGGAACTGACAGGTATAGCGAAGTCGGGGTGGAAGATGTAGGAGGTTGGAGAGTTGTCTATTATTATACAGTCCTCCACGTTACGTCCCAGCTTACTCAGGTCCTGGGAGGGGGGTTAGAGTTGGAGTGGCAATTTCAGGGTTGTACTTTTTATACGAGGATATTTTCCTGTTTTTAAACTATTTTGTATACTTCCGGTTTAGATGTGCCCTCTTTGGTGACGATATAGCATACGTACTCTTCTATAATTTATTGGTATTAAAACCACGCCGAGTAACAATTAAAAACAATCAAATTGCTTGGATGCTATGCATATGCATAGCATATATTAGCAATCCATTGTAATTGTAATGCAATCTATTGTAAACCATCCTGCTCTTCATTAAGCAATGAATGACAGATGTTCAATAGTATGCCAACTTCCTCCCCTGTGACCTAACCTAGCTTGATCAACACACAATGGCCAAATACCACAGAGCACGTGTTGGCATTCCACCACTACATATTTTATCAGCTGACATGTACAATCACACCCGTGTTGGCATTCCACCACTACATATTTTATCAGCTGACATGTACAATCACACTCAGATGTGTGGCTAATTTAAACATTACTTTCCAGAAGGTGTACTATTTCAATACAGTGTGTTGTGGAATGTGTGACTAACGACGCCTTTAAAGCCAGCCCAACCCTTGTCGGCAACCTTAACATTAACCCTGGCTAACATCAGTCTCTCCCACGTCCAGTACAGCAGTGTGGATATCTCCGGAGAGAGATAAGGCAGATAATTCATAATAGGCGTGCTAGGCAGGGTATATCTTATATTATCGGAGCTATTGTCAGGGGAATTGTGTCATATCACTAAAAGCAACCCTACAAGTATCGTGACCTGCTATTGGAACTTTTACACCTGTAATCGTGTATACCCTGAATATTGATACCGTAATATTGGATGAGATGTAGGTTGATTAGTAACCACCAACACTGGGCACACACTAATACAGCTATATGTCAGGTGCACGGCTGCCCCTGTAATATACCCCCCTCTCATGTTACCTCCTCATGTAATACATATCACGCTGTGTCTCTTTGTGGTAAAGCAGGTACATATTACCATGATACTATTATTGTAAACATTGAAACGGTGGTGTGTGATTATTACTACAGGCTCTAAACCTCTAGTGTGGCGCTCAAGAGTGCATCTCTAGTGAGTTAATTAAGAAGTGAGGATACATGCAGCACACATATACGATACTGACATCTGTCCTAAAAATAGAAGCTGCAAGGAACCGTTAATAAGTCCTGTGGGAACTCTAAATATAGCTAATTATAGGTTTAACAGTCCGTGTGGTCAGCACTCTATAACATATGCTGTAATGCTGTCTACATATAATGATTTCCTCCCGTTTCCTCCCTCTGTCGAGATAATGGCTCGGCTGCACAAGCATACAGCTATCCTGCATCATAATACGTGCAACGTGGATCACGCATGGTTAATGAGTAAATGGTTTCTTGTGCAGTCTTTTCATTTAGCGGGTTGCATCATCAGGGTTGGATCAATGGTATAAGTTTCAATATGGCAGGTTTGCTGTCAATAAATCTCTAGAAAATCTCTGAACACACAGGAAATGTCAAACCTTGACGTAGTTTCCTTTGTGGAAAATACACGCCTCCCTGAAGAGCCGAGAGCTAAAACAGCCGTGTACATCGAGCAGGTCGGACACGGGGTCCGCGTACTTTGCGAGACTCGCTGTGAACAACACACATTCGAACTTGTTCGCTAGAAACGCCAAGAAGTCGTCAACAAACGGTCGCTTCAGAACGTACACCTGAGTTTTAAATTTTAGATGTATGTGTCTAACATCTGCTTGATGTAAGGTGAGATATTTGAGAGTTTTAAAAGCTGACTGTACAATGTGAATATGCATTACTTCATCATTTTTGTCACTTTCGTTTACTCAAAATCATAAGAAACAGGAGCAGAATAGACACGATGTAAGATAACTGCAGTATATCTTATCAACTGTTCCTATTCACGCACAGGTGTTTACATTCCACCCTGTACAATCAACTTAATAACACCAGAATGTGTGTGTGTCTGTGTGTGTGTCTGTGTGTGTGTCTGTGTGTAATTTCCGAACGGTTATACAAAAAAACGGTAATAGTTACGGGACTGGTTTTTTCGGTATAGTGCCGACAAAACTCTGACGAAGCCAATAAGCAAATTTTATAAAAATCGGCCGGTGGTAAGTGGTTTAATTGATGGTTTTGTACCACAAAATATGTTACATAAAATGGCTTGAGAAGAACGGCAAGAGTTAAGGGGCTAGCTCTCTCTCTCTCTCTCTGCATATGTAGCGTATATATTACATGGCGTATATATTACATGGTCATATAATACTATAAACTTATTAGGGGAGGGAGTGCTCAAACGGTCTGTTTGGACTGTAGAGAGAGTTCATACTTTCATACGACAATGTAATGCATGTTCACAAATATGATAGGCTGGTGTGGTGCATGGTGTTAAGGGTTAATTTCTATTGATTATTGATTAAGAATTACTATCTTTTAAGCATACTATTGGATACGTGAGGGCACTCCGAATAGAATTGCTCGCCTAATCCGGGTTTTGACTCAGCGGGTAATTACTCCTACCCTTTTTAACTGCGGCAGTGAAATCCCGGCCGTAGGCCGGGTTACACTAGTACTCTGATAATGTAACAAACCTGGTGTATAGCGCCGTCTAAGTCAACTGGAATAATGAAGTCCGGGTTAGGAACCGGTTTAAACGAACTGTGCACCAGTGTTTCATCCAAGTCAATAACAACGCACCTCTTGCTCTGAAATGTGGCAGTTTAATTCATAAATAGCTCGCTTTGCCAGGCTTAATGTAGACAATGTTTACTCTATATTTTCTAGTCGGTATCACATGTGGTGTAGACACAACAGCAGTGTTTGTGATAGAATATGTTTTATTTCTAGACAAGATTATGATCTACGTGTAAAGCGATCCGTCAATTATCGCGCTCAGGAATTCAATTTCAACCACAACGAAAGGGATCAACAAGTAAAAAGGAATGTAAAATTTACAGTCACACCTCTTACCTTATCTATTTCTCGCACTTTATCCAGAAGCGGTGGCTGACCTTTGATCGCATGATTTTCGATGGTGTGCGATTCGGGCGGAGTGTGATTCTGTTGTGATTTTGAAACACAACAACACATGCAGTTCTTTAATCGTTTTAACCTGGTTTAATCAGAGTGCAGTGTGTGAGATTAATTTGGCGAGACTTCAAAATTGATCAAATTACAAAGCTAGGCTGTTGATCAAAGAACTAAGCTGGAAGATTTAAAATATCTGAAATGAATACATCAACAGTGATTCATACCTTGTTAATAATTTGGAAACAGGTGATCTCTCCAAAGTGTGATTCGGTGCAACCGGATAGGAGGATGCGTACTCCCCATCCTTGTTAACTTGGGTTATAATACTTGAAGCCATCCCCTATGTGGATAGTACACTCAGTGACAAACAAACACAAATATGCAGAGAATGTAGAAGAAATGACGAAAATAATTTGATACTCCAGCTGCTGCGCGCGCTCACGCGCCGACACAGTGAGAACGTCCATCAGAGTACTTTTATCAGAAAAAGGTAACATTTTGCTAGTACAAAAAGAGGCCTGGGCGGTTGGAAGCATGCGATGTATGTTTTGAAATGTCGTCACTCCCTCTTATAAATATTAAAATGTATTTACGTACTACAGCTAAGCAGAAGGAGGACCTTCCAAGGCGGTAGTATCAAATTACAGTATTGCATAACAGTATCACACTACAGTGAAGCCACATACTACGATAATTCGAATAGGAGATAAATTCATTATGCGAACTGTTATATAATTACACAAGAAGTATCGGGTGTAAGTCGACAGTGGCTGGAAATTTGTAATAATTTTGCAAATTACTGCTTAATCATTGTTGTATATATATTTTATGAAACAATATAAAAGTCACAAAGCAGTATATGTAACTGTAGTAATTAACAGTATGATTATCATCAAAAACAAAACCCAATGGCTTCATTGATAAAATGATAATATATTATGGTCATGGTGTGCTTCGACATAAAAACTAATATTAGATAAAATCAAAATTATTGGTCCTGACAACTCTACTAAATGACTGACAAATTTAAATCTTAGGTGGCTGTGGACCACCCAAGCAGCTTACAGTAGTTTACATAAGTTGCTTTTGTCATTTACTTTGCAGTATAAAATTGTGTTTTAGGTGCAACAGTGTACACCCTCACGAAACATTGGATGTAACACATTGATATCATTTCTTTTTACTGGGCGCCCCAAACATAGACTTCAAAGAATCTTGAGTTTGTTCATGTGACTTATCTCTGAAGATTTGTGTACCAAGAGAACTTATATCCTTCTCAACGCTTACTGAGTCTGATTTATCTTCTTCTTTTTCTTCTTCTTCTTCTTCGATTCCTGATGAGTCATTACTGCTTCTGAGAAAAGGGAGTCCAGAATTCGATATTTTGTTTAAATCTTCTCTCCTCGCAGCTTGAGCTGCTTCTCTTTTAAGCTTGTTTGCAGCAATTCTCTTATCTGACTCTTCTTTTATCGAAAGTTTTGTTTCTGCATACCCCTCCAGTTTTTTCTCTTTTTTAATAGCAACAGAACTCTCTGATCCATACAGATGTAACTCAACTTTTTCGGTTAACTTTTGAATGGCAATTCTTTTGTTTTGATCCAAGAAACGAGTTTGGTGACAGTTCACCACAATGTTAGTTGGGACATGCTTCACTATAACCTTGTTTCTGGTACGAGCAACTTTCTGGCCACCTGGCCCTGAACCAATAACGTTCTGGATAACCAGGTCGTTTGGGTCGAGTGTGAACTTTGTTCTGATGCTAAGGAGACAGAGGGAGGGTCTGATGTTGTTAATCCTGTACATGATACCTTACATTCCTGGGTCAGTGTGTATTGTTTACATTGTGTTTCTAGGTAAGTAATGAGATGCCGTCACTTCAGGTATTCAATAAGGTTGGAACTGTTTTAAGAGTTTAAGGATAATGAAATAAAGTATCCAGATGTGAAAAACTGAAAGCTTTACTCTGCTGTGAACACTCATGAATACAGTTAAACCATGAACATGAGATGGTTTGGAAGTTACTGGAGTAGCGGGCCGGTCACACGATCATCATAATATACATTCAGGTCACCTAAATTCAAATTAACTTACTTCATTCCTTCGATACCTCGAGGAATGATACCTCAACCATGCATAGGTAGTTAGAAGTTATGGAAGTACCCAATTAAAACATTTAAAAATTAAGAGCTTTCAAGAATTTGATCTATTTTTACTGCATGACTGCATTTAAATAATACTGCATAACTATAACGCAGGTTTTATTAATATATCGAAGTAAGCCAGTAAAAAGAAATCTGTCTGAGATCACTAAAAATATAATGATTTCCTCATTTCTATGTTGGGAAATCATTGCAAAGTAGTCATATGATCTCAGACACAAAATGTAATATCTTTTCATTTTAAGGGATCAACCCTGGCCAAAATTCCAAAGTACAGAAGCATTCAAAAAATATTTGACAACCCTATGAGTATTGCTGAAAGCACAGTGTAAGGCCTACACGGACCGCCTCTAACTAGCCAATCCCTGTATACATGCCGTGTAGCAGGGAACTAGAAAAGAGCTAAACTAGTAAGCGGGGCATAGCCAGTACACTATACTCCCATCATTGAGTATATTACCAACCAGAAGGAAAATTTCCTTGTGTTTGGAATCTACCAAGACGAAAGTTGTACAATCCAGCGAAATTCCGAAGAATCATTCCAGTAGACTAGGCGCATTGCAACCACAGCCACGGAAATACTTATGACTATGACTTAAATGTAGAGAGACCATTGGTGGAAGGAGTTCTATAGTCAGAAATTTGATAATTTTAACTATTTTGCTAAATTGATGTTTTGGGATAAAGTGAAAGTCTCCACTCAATTTTTCAAACAAGTAGTTTTCGACGTTTGAAAAACTGAGTTGAGACTCTCACTTTGTCTCAAACATCAATTATATGATCGACCCACTCAAAAAGAGCGAAAACAGATTATGATTATTCTGCTAAATGTCTTAAATAGTTAATAGCCATAATCTGAATAAAGTGAATCAAAGATTGGTTAAGGTCAGATGGGGGAAGGCCAAGGGGCCATCATCTTAGAATTACTGTCAACAAAATTATTTAGAAAAAAGGGACACATTTTTGGACAGGGAGGATAAAAAGAAATTTTAGTAGGCATTGTTGTTCACAGAATTACTTACTAACAGTAAAATGTGAACCCAAATTATAATTATGTCTGAGAGTTGATCCTAACTATAATTTGGCATTTTGCTCAAAACCTCTCACCTAAATAACTGTAGACATGATAATATGTGATTGCCTCGAAACTTTCTAGAGAGAGTATTAGCTTTCAAAACTGATTATCTTATTGCTTCATAAGTAGTAGGATGATGATCATCCATTATAAAGCTGAAACTGAAGCTATGACTGTCCTGTGACTGGTCTAACCTTACTGCGGAACATATAGAAAGTTTGTTGGTTTTTGCCTCGATAATTGGAATATCAGGACTAAACAGTGCAGTAGTTTAAGAGATAGCCGTGTAACTTGTAAGAGATAGTTGTCACGTGATTGGAGTATGTGTTATCTTTGCAAAATTTAATGTCAATTATTGCCCACATAATACCAAGAAATAGGGCACAAGGAAAATAAATCAACTTATATATGCAATGAAATTTGTCAATGAAAGAAGAAATTTAATTTTAATTTAAAATCAACAAATTTATAATATAACAAAATTTAGTAAAACAAAATTTAAATTTTATTGCCATATTACAATGAATAATAATGTCATAATAAAAATGTCAAACTTAAACATCCGATAATAAACTCGTGAAAATTAGATATATTATATGCTATATTGTGAAATACTTTTTTTACTATATACTCGAAAATTAATCTCAATCATAAATTTCTATCAGCGCGGTGCTAGTCACTTATTATAATGACGGCGCCGAGCCTAAACTAATGAATTCGAAAATAAAATACAAATTCTAAATCAGAAGTGAAAGTTATTCTAAAAAAATTTCATTTACTTACTTTGTTCTTGTATTCCAAATGTTTAAATTTCATAAAACGATAGTTTATAATGCCTTGTTTCACGTTGTAGCCCTGCCGCTCACAAGTGTGTGGCTTCGTCATTCAATTAACAATTCATTTAAATTTAAAGCTCATTAATTGGTGTATGACTTTCTGTCCTTGACTGCAAATTGCATAGTGGGAGGACAGACAACTTACGTGGCAAGAGATGTGCCTAGAAGCTGATAAACACACGGTCTAAATTACACTTCCATCTCAAATGAAATTAAATTTGAAAAATACAAAAAATATAGATTAATTTTATCAAAACTTATCAATATTGTTTCTAGAGGTTTCCTGAAACTTGCCAATGGTTGCATAATGTACATGTTGAAGGTGCTATGCAAATGTATAACTTTTAAATGTGAGCACATGCATTGAGGTTTATACTTAAAGCTCAATCACTGAGTGCCCGATTGAGATATTTTTGACTTAACTGGTAAGAGGAAAAAATGGGAATCATACAGGAAGGCCAATCCCAAAGTTGTAGCACACTATCACACAGCCAGTACAGTAATAAAATTAAAAATTTTCAAAGGAATAAATACCACGATTTAACGCAGAGTTTGTTCTCCCCCGGGCTTGTAGAAGGGGTTTCCTTTATCTGTACAACAAGGACACTCCCTGGAATGTTGTACTGGGACTATGGTTGGGGTGTCGTCTACAGGACTGAGCCCTGAGTCACTGAGGGTTAAACACACTTCCTGCTCTGACGCCTCTACTTCAGCGATAGAGAAATCCTGTTGTTCAAAGGACTCCAGGTCTTCAACAACTAAAGTTGGAGCAATGTATGGCTGAGAAACATTTTGAGAACAGGGATTACTATCAATATTCTGATTAGGAAGTTTAGTGACGTTTGTGGACTGATTAGGATCGTTTCTTTCAATAATCTCAACCTCATCAATTACTGGCTCTCTTACAGTATAATAGTCCTCACTTAATTTTTCTTGATGATTCTCACTTTGAAAAATTTGTTCACCAGGAGTATTTGCGGGTGATCCTGGATTTTGTCTGGACGTATTTGAGTAATTCTCTGACAGTTTCGTACAGACTCGTTCAGTAACACTAGCAACATGAGGTAAACTTTTATCAATATCAGTGTTTTGCATCATTACCAGCCATAAACTACAGTACAAACAATCAACTGAGTAATAGGAAGTGGTGTTAGCAAGCATCTTTAATTGCATTATTCGTAGTTAATGATATCACAGGGAAGCACTTCCCTGTATGAGTATGAGCAAATTTTTAAAACAAGCGATTGTTGGGGGGGGGTGCAACCATATTAAAGTATATTAAAATGTAGGATTTTTCCCGATTTTGACCCGGGGATATACTTTAATATACTTTAATATACCTACAATATACTTTAATATATCCCTATCTCCTTGGAGGCCATCAAAATTGTTGCCCAAAATAAGCAAGAAGTGCAATTCTTAATCGATTCCAAAAAGTTCTTGAAAAAATATTGAAAACTGATGGAGTTATTTCAATTTTAATGAAGTCATTTTGGCTAGTATTCCGAACCGAGATATTATGTGCAATTTTCCCAATTTTGTTCATGGAGGTCTTTTTACTTAGTATCCACTATATTCAACAAACACTGAGTTACATCTTTCACATAGAGTTAGTCTCATTAAAAAATATTGAAATTTTATCGAATTTGGGCAAAAGCGAATTTGGGTAAAAGCGTATGCCCAAATATGGGCATATTTTTTTAAGCTCATAGCTCAGCCTATTTTTGACCAATCTGGATGGAAATTCATGTACTAGTCCTAAAACAGGCTTATCTTGCGAATCTGAGTGAAAAATATAGTTCATCATGTAAATCTTAACGAAGAATATAAATCTTCTAATTGTAGGTATATTAAAGTATATTAAAATGTAGGATTTTTTCCGATTTTGACCCGGGGATATACTTTAATATACTTTAATATGGTTGGCCCCCCCCCCCCCCCCCCCCCATTGTTTCTTTCCATTACTTACTGTATAGCATTTAATAGTGATAACAGTGAAACCTCCAACCCCAGTGCCAGTTTAAAGTCTTCAAATAAGGCTGGTCTGCATGTAATCAAAATAGGATTAAGTACTGAAATTTATCCGGGTAGGTAATTTTTTTTTTTTTTTTTTTTTTTAATATATAGTAGGTAATTAAAAACTTACAAGGAACCAGCCGCGGTAAATCAGGGTTTGCAGCTTATCAGAGTTTGCGGTAAATCAGAGTTTTGCTGTACTAGATGTTATACTAAATTGTCTAATTCTGCAAAATAATGAAACAAGTTTTATTGAAACAAGTTAAATAAAATTCTTGTATGCTTTATTTAAGTTCAAACAATATAATACAAAATCGTGTCTCAAATATGAAACATGGATATGTTATATAAGACCCAACGTATGTGTCTAGATTTCCATCCCCTGCCCCTGTTATGTAGTATTGAATAAATAAAGGAAAATCGCAGACCTGTAGTAGACACACAAGGACTCTCTCACAATGACCATGGGTCAGAACATGTGGTGACAAGTTGAAATGGGTGTTACGGAGCATGCATTGTAGAAGAGCCGATCCGGAAACTGGGGAAGAAAATTCAATGTAGGAAAAGATGCAAAATTTGAAATGATCTGATAATATTTACAAAAATCTAAGACTACCTGAAAAGGAATTGATTTGGTTTGATTTGGACTACATAATATATAAGCCAACAACAGCTTCATGTGATTCCCGAGATTAGTAACAATCAACAAATGACTAATGAAACATTTAAGCGTGTGTCTAGGTAGATTATCAACAATTACAAACTAACAGAGAAACAAATTTTAGAGAAACAAATTTGAATTTTGATCTTTATTACAGATTAAACATATCATATATAACCATAAAAGCCGCGCGTCGGCTGATTGCCTCAACTTGGATTGGTAGTAATTTCAATTTACAGAAGCTGAAGGACGGCAGCTGAAAAGCCCCAGTGAACCATCGGAAAGATCAAGGACTCGAGTGCCAATAGTGGCTTTTTCGAACCCATTTTCGCCGATTTGCTGTGGCCCAGATGAGCCGCGCCCTGCTTACTGGGCCGCGCTCAGCCTGTCATTCCGCCGAATGTTTATGAACATAATAGCCTGAGGTCCCCAGGTAACGCCCTGCTGTTTAACGGCACATGATGGTTTTTGTTTAAATACTTATTTAAATTTAAGCGATAATTCATTTGGTGGTTTACAGTTTTTGAATCATGTTCATCATTTATTTTTCGTTCAGTTATCACGTTTTTACAATTCAGTCATACCATGCATAGTCAACATTGTTGAGGCAACCAGTTTCCGCAGTTCAATAATTGGAGACCGAAAATATAAATTGATCGAAATTTACAATTCATCGTTATCAAATATAGTCAATAATATTCTTGATTCCATTTAGTACATAATAAGTTGGTTTTATTCTCTTGCAACACTACTGCAGAACAAAAACTGCGCCTGTCCACCAGCAACAGCGCAGTCATAGGTGTGCAGCCAAAGCTAGGCCACACACCCATGGCCGCGCCGGTTAAACAACTCTATATTCAATCGTTAGGCTAATATTAAATACTAGTGGACTCTATGCAGGTCTCCCAGCGCCCCTAATTTTACTGATCTGGAGGTCACATTTTATTGAGCCAGTACAGGCTAATATTAAATACTAGTGGACTCTATGCAGCTCTCCCAGAGCCCCTAATTTTACTGATCTGGAGGTCACATTTTATTGAGCCAGTACAGGCTAATATTAAATACTAGTGGACTCTATGCAGTTCTCCCAGCGCCCCTAATTTTACTGATCTGGAGGTCACATTTTATCGAGCCAGTACAGGCTAATATTGAATACTAGTGGACTCTATGCAGGTCTCCCAGCGCCCCTAATTTTACTGATCTGGAGGTCACATTTTATCGAGCCAGTACAGGCTAATATTAAATACTAGTGGACTCTATGCAGCACTCCCAGAGCCCCTAATTTTACTGATCTGGAGGTCACATTTTATTGAGCCAGTACAGGCTAATATTAAATACTAGTGGACTCTATGCAGGTCTCCCAGCGCCCCTAATTTTACTGATCTGGAGGTCAGATTTTATTGAGCCAGTACAGGCTAATATTAAATACTAGTGGACTCTATGCAGGTCTCCCAGCGCCCCTAATTTTACTGATCTGGAGGTCACATTTTATTGAGCCAGTACAGGCTAATATTAAATACTAGTGGACTCTATGCAGGTCTCTCAGCGCCCCTAATTTTACTGATCTGGAGGTCACATTTTATTGAGCCAGTACAGGCTAATATTAAATACTAGTGGACTCTATGCAGCTCTCCCAGAGCCCCTAATTTTACTGATCTGGAGGTCACATTTTATTGAGCCAGTACAGGCTAATATTAAATACTAGTGGACTCTATGCAGGTCTCCCAGCGCCCCTAATTTTACTGATCTGGAGGTCACATTTTATTGAGCCAGTACAGGCTAACATTAAATACTAGTGGACTCTATGCAGGTCTCCCAGCGCCCCTAATTTTGCTGATCTGGAGGTCACATTTTATTGAGCCAGTACAGGCTAATATTAAATACTAGTGGACTCTATGCAGGTCTCCCAGCGCCCCTAATTTTACTGATCTGGAGGTCACATTTTATTGAGCCAGTACAGGCTAACATTAAATACTAGTGGACTCTATGCAGGTCTCCCAGCGCCCCTAGTTTTACTGATCTGGAGGTCACATTTTATCGAGCCAGTACAGGCTAATATTAAATACTAGTGGACTCTATGCAGGTCTCCCAGCGCCCCTAATTTTACTGATCTGGAGGTCACATTTTATTGAGCCAGTACAGGCTAATATTAAATACTAGTGGACTCTATGCAGCTCTCCCAGAGCCCCTAATTTTACTGATCTGGAGGTCACATTTTATTGAGCCAGTACAGGCTAATATTAAATACTAGTGGACTCTATGCAGTTCTCCCAGCGCCCCTAATTTTACTGATCTGGAGGTCACATTTTATTGAGCCAGTACAGGCTAACATTAAATACTAGTGGACTCTATGCAGGTCTCCCAGCGCCCCTAATTTTGCTGATCTGGAGGTCACATTTTATTGAGCCAGTACAGGCTAATATTAAATACTAGTGGACTCTATGCAGGTCTCCCAGCGCCCCTAATTTTACTGATCTGGAGGTCACATTTTATTGAGCCAGTACAGGCTAACATTAAATACTAGTGGACTCTATGCAGGTCTCCCAGCGCCCCTAGTTTTACTGATCTGGAGGTCACATTTTATCGAGCCAGTACAGGCTAATATTAAATACTAGTGGACTCTATGCAGGTCTCCCAGCGCCCCTAATTTTACTGATCTGGAGGTCACATTTTATTGAGCCAGTACAGGCTAATATTAAATACTAGTGGACTCTATGCAGGTCTCCCAGCGCCCCTAATTTTACTGATCTGGAGGTCACATTTTATTGAGCCAGTACAGGCTAACATTAAATACTAGTGGACTCTATGCAGGTCTCCCAGCGCCCCTAATTTTACTGATCTGGAGGTCACATTTTATCGAGATAGTACAGGCTAACATTAAATACTAGTGGACTCTATGCAGGTCTCCCAGCGCCCCTAATTTTGCTGATCTGGAGGTCACATTTTATTGAGCCAGTACAGGCTAACATTAAATACTAGTGGACTCTATGCAGGTCTCCCAGCGCCCCTAATTTTACTGATCTGGAGGTCACATTTTATTGAGCCAGTACAGGCTAATATTAAATACTAGTGGACTCTATGCAGGTCTCCCAGCGCCCCTAATTTTGCTGATCTGGAGGTCACATTTTATCGAGCCAGTACAGGCTAATATTAAATACTAGTGGACTCTATGCAGGTCTCCCAGCGCCCCTAATTTTACTGATCTGGAGGTCACATTTTATCGAGATAGTACAGGCTAATATTAAATACTAGTGGACTCTATGCAGGTCTCCCAGCGCCCCTAATTTTACTGATCTGGAGGTCACATTTTATTGAGCCTATGCAGTATATGCAATTCTGTTTTAGACATTGAATTTATTTTAAAAAGGTCTCACACTCTAATTTTACTGATCTGGAGGTCACATTTTATTGAGCCTATGCAGTATATGCAATTCTGTTTTAGACATTGAATTTATTTAAAAAAGGTCTCACACTCTAAAAAACTCCCATTGGAAATGTTTCTATTAATTTTACATTGGAAAACTTTTCATTGTGTTTGACCTCAACTTAGATGTATTTGTTTTTTTTGCTATTTTTAGCAACTCCAATTCTCTTTTGTAGAGCTGATTCTTGTTATATAATATAGAAGTACACTCGATACAGTTATCTTATATAAGAAAATATATTGGACTGCCAAACTACTGGTATATCATTATATTGGGAAGAAAAATAATACAAGTTAGTATTCTTTTAAAAATAACTGTTCATAACATTTACTTCATTTTAGGTATGTGTGTGAAACATCAGAACTGAATAATGGACCAGAGAATTCAGAGATCTTTGGTTACCTGTTTCCGGTTTCGTCGGTTCACATTGCTGCGTTCCTGACCTAGCTTCGCCTCCATCATTAGATCATATTATAATATGCATTATAGACTATAGTTATACAGCTTGAATTTGAAAGAGCTACATGGTCGTTGTTTCGAGTGCTTTTTCATCTGCTGTGACAGACAGCATCAACGGTTACCAACATAATAGGTGCATTGCAAGTTGTGCAATGCTGAATGCATACGTTTCGTCAGTGACTTCCTTCTGCCTCATTGATGCGAAACTGATAATAAACATGCAAGAGAATACAGCTATAGTTACTCTGGACTGCCATGATAGAAACATTGAAACAGATATTGACTGGCTTTAGGTATGTAAGACGTAAGTATTGAAACCTCAAATTGTTATGATCAGGTTCAACATACTTGCTATGATCCTTTATATAATAATATTAATATATTACATAAAATATAATATATTACATTGTATATTAATCTTGATATAAAATCCTCGCTTTTTGATGATTGTAACATGTTCTGTTTCGTTGTAACCTTGTCCCCTACATAATTATATAATACATCATTACTTCCATTTTTCAGGTTTTTATTGGTGTTGCAAACGATGAAACGATCACTAAATTCTGTGCCTATGTGAGATTTGTTGGTTCATCGAATAACATCAAACTTACAGTGTGAGTAATTCGACAATCATGCACTTCATATTTTATGTCCCCCTACTAATTTTTCACTCTCTGTCTTCATCAGTGTTACTCTACATTTCTCTCAGTAATTACTCTCCCACTCAGTATTAACTCTCTGTCTTCATCAGTGTAACTCTACATTTCTCTCAGTAGTTATTCTCCCACTCAGTATCAACTCTCTGTCTTCATCAGTGTAACTCTACATTTCTCTCAGTAGTTATTCTCCCACTCAGTATTAACTCTCTGTCTTCATCAGTGTTTCTCTACATTTCTCTCAGCAGTTATTCTTCCACTCAGTATTAACTCTCTGTCTTCGTCAGTGTTACTCTTTATTTCCCTCAGTAGCTACCCTCCCACTCAGTATTAACTCTCTGTCTTCATCAGTGTAACTCTACATTTCTCTCAGTAGTTACTCTTCCACTCAGTTTTAACTCTCTGTCGTCATCAGTGTTACTCTACATTTCTCTCAACTTAGTTATTCTCCCACTCAGTATTAACTCTCTGTCTTTGTCAGTGTTACTCTATATTTCCCTCAGTAGTTACTCTCACACTGAGAGTTAACTCTCTGTATTCGTCAGTGTTACTCTATATTTTGTTCAGTAGTTATTCTCCCACTCAGTATTAACTCTCTGTCTTCGTCAGTATTACTCTACATTTCCCTCAGTAGTTATTCTCCCACTCAGTATTAACTCTCTGTCTTCGTCAGTGTTACTCTACATTTCGCTCAGTAGTTATTCTCCCAGTTCCCACTTAGTATCAACTCTCTGTCTTCATCAGTGTTACTCTACATTTCTCTCAGTAGTTATTCTCCCACTCGGTGTTAAATCTCTGTCTTCATCAGTGTTACTCTAGACATTTCCCTCAGTAGTTATTCTCCCACTCAGTATTAACTCTCTGTCTTCATCAGTGTTACTCTATATTTCTCTCAGCAGTTATTCTTTCACTCAGTAGCAACTCTCTGTCTTCGTCAGTGTTACTCTATATTTAGCTCAGTAGTTATTCTCCCACTCAGTATTAACTCTCTGTCTTCATCAGTGTTACTCTAGACATTTCCTTCAGAAGTTATTCTCCCACTCAGTATTAACTCTGTGTCTTCGTCAGTGTTACTCTACATTTCGCTCAGTAGTTATTCTTCCGCTCAGTATCAACTCTCTGTCTTCATCAGTGTTATTCTACATTTCCCTCAGTAGTCATTCTCCCACTCAGTGTTAAATCTCTGTCTTCATCAGTGTTACTCTAGACATTTCCCTCAGTAATTATCTCCCACTCAGTATTAACTCTCTGTCTTCGTCAGTGTTACTCTTTATTTCCCTCAGTAGCTACCCTCCCACTCAGTATTAACTCTCTGTCTTCATCAGTGTAACTCTACATTTCTCTCAGTAGTTACTCTTCCACTCAGTTTTAACTCTCTGTCGTCATCAGTGTTACTCTACATTTCTCTCAACTTAGTTATTCTCCCACTCAGTATTAACTCTCTGTCTTTGTCAGTGTTACTCTATATTTACCTCAGTAGTTACTCTCACACTGAGAGTTAACTCTCTGTCTTCGTCAGTGTTACTCTATATTTTGCTCAGTAGTTATTCTCCCACTCAGTATTAACTCTCTGTCTTCGTCAGTATTACTCTACATTTCCCTCAGTAGTTATTCTCCCACTCAGTATTAACACTCTGTCTTCGTCAGTGTTACTCTACATTTCGCTCAGTAGTTATTCTCCCAGTTCCCACTTAGTATCAACTCTCTGTCTTCATCAGTGTTACTCTACATTTCTCTCAGTAGTTATTCTCCCACTCAGTGTTAAATCTCTGTCTTCATCAGTGTTACTCTAGACATTTCCCTCAGTAGTTATTCTCCCACTCAGTATTAACTCTCTGTCTTCATCAGTGTTACTCTACATTTCTCTCAGCAGTTATTCTTTCACTCAGTAGCAACTCTCTGTCTTCGTCAGTGTTACTCTATATTTAGCTCAGTAGTTATTCTCCCACTCAGTATTAACTCTCTGTCTTCATCAGTGTTACTCTAGACATTTCCTTCAGAAGTTATTCTCCCACTCAGTATTAACTCTGTGTCTTCGTCAGTGTTACTCTACATTTCGCTCAGTAGTTATTCTTCCGCTCAGTATCAACTCTCTGTCTTCATCAGTGTTATTCTACATTTCCCTCAGTAGTTATTCTCCCACTCAGTGTTAAATCTCTGTCTTCATCAGTGTTACTCTAGACATTTCCCTCAGTAATTATCTCCCACTCAGTATCAACTCTCTGTCTTCATCAGTGTTATTCTACATTTCCTTCAGTAGTTATTCTCCCACTCAGTGTTAAATCTCTGTCTTCATCAGTGTTACTCTAGACATTTCCCTCAGTAATTATTCTCCCACTCAGTATCAACTCTCTGTCTTCATCAGTGTAACTCTACATTTCTCTCAGTAGTTATTCTCCCACTCAGTATTAACTCTCTGTCTTCATCAGTGTTACTCTACATTTCTCTCAGCAGTTATTCTTCCACTCAGTATTAACTCTCTGTCTTCGTCAGTGTTACTCTATATTTAGCTCAGTAGTTATTCTCCCACTCAGTATTAACTCTCTGTCTTCATCTTCTTCTTCGTAGAGGGCAGTGGTCTTTACTACTAAGGAATAGATCAAAACCACTATAAGATGGAGCATTGAAGCCCTGTACTTACCCCGGTACAGTTAATCTGTGAAGAAAGCAAGGTTAAGCCTTGTCCTCTCCACATTTGGTAAAACGTTTTGTTGCTTGTATGAAGCCGATGATCCTTGGTAATGAGAACTTGTCCACTATATCTGTCACACTGAGGTAGAAGGAGTCAAAGTATCCTCCTCGCTGGTAAGACCATTTCGGGCACTGACCAATAAAGTGGTTCATTGTCTCCTCTTTCATGAGACAGTGTGGACAGGTTTTAGGGACCGTTGTACTTATTGATATGGTAGTTTAGTTCACAATGTCCCGTGAGGAATTGTGTTGCTGTTCTTGTGCTCTCTTTGCCAAGTTTCGGGATTGATCTGGCGAACTTTTGTCTCCATACTCGTTTAAAGTGAGTGTGGGGTAAAGTTCTCCATCTTTCCCTCATCTTCCGATGACTTATACTCCGCAGTGCTCCCTTCCATAATACTTTTGGTATTGGTAGTTGCACTTGAGCGGAGTCCAGATTGTCGGAGCCTTTTTTGGCAAGAGAGTCTGCCTTTTCGTTGCCATCGTAGCCTTTGTGAGCTGGTATCCATCGTAGTAGGACTTGATTGTCCATTGCTAGTTGGTTGAGCTCACTTATAGCCGTGCTGGTGCTTTTAGATTTGACTTTGATGTTGCTCATTGCCATTATTGTCGCCTGGCTATCGCAGTTTATGTTTATTTTTCTAGTTTTGGTCCCAGATTCCCGTAATATTTTTGCCGCAGTGCCTACGGCAAAGGTTTCGGCCTGGAAGACGGTTGAGTTGATTCCTAGGTGGTATGACTCCTCACATGTGGGGTGTCGTTGTCCACAATGTACACTCCTGCTCCAACTTTTTCATTCATTTTGGAGCCGTCTGTGTAACATTGTATAGTATTGGTGTCATTCTCGATTACCTCATACTCAGAGAGTCGGGGAATTTCTGTGTTGAAACCAATGTCAACATTCAGTGATGTTGTCTGTTGATCTTGTCCTTCAGAGTTGAGACTGATAGCCTTTAGTAACTGTTCATTAAGTTTTGTGTGGGTGGTTAGGTTGCCCTTCTTGTTTACCATCGGCTCATATATCCACTGGTTGTTGGATTTGAGTCTGAGAGCTCTGCTGCTTCCTCTTCCATCACCAGATCAATAGGGATGATTCCGGTGATGATGTCTATACTAGTGCTGCTCCAGGAGTCGATGGTAACCCTCCTGTTATGAGGATGTTCCCCAGCCGCTGTACACTGCTAAGGATTGTTAGGTTATGTTTTTTGGACACACCATTGAGCCAGATTGTCGCAGCGTATGTCAGAGAAGGTCTGACAACGGCTGTATAATATATATACTCTGTCTTCATCAGTGTTACTCTAGACATTTCCTTCAGAAGTTATTCTCCCACTCAGTATTAACTCTCTGTCTTCGTCAGTGTTACTCTACATTTCGCTCAGTAGTTATTCTTCCGCTCAGTATCAACTCTCTGTCTTCATCAGTGTTATTCTACATTTCCCTCAGTAGGTATTCTCCCACTCAGTGTTAAATCTCTGTCTTCATCAATGTTACTCTAGACATTTCCCTCAGTAATTATTCTCCCACTCAGTATCAACTCTCTGTCTTCATCAGTGTAACTCTACATTTCTCTCAGTAGTTATTCTCCCACTCAGTATTAACTCTCTGTCTTCATCAGTGTTACTCTACATTTCTCTCAGCAGTTATTCTTCCACTCAGTATTAACTCTCTGCCTTCGTCAGCGTTACTCTATATTTCCCTCAGTAGTTATTCTCCCAATCAGTGTTAACTCTCTATCTTCATCAGTATTACTCTAGACATTTCCTTCAGAAGTTATTCTCCCACACAGTATTAAAGTATTAACTCTCTGTCTTCGTCAGTGTTACTCTATATTTCCCTCAGTAGTTACTTTTCCACTCAGTGTTAACTCTATATCTTCATCAGTGTTACTCTAGACATTCCTTCAGTAGTTATTCTCCCACTCAGTATTAACTCTCTGCCTTCATCAGTGTTAATCTACATTTCCCTCAGTAGTTACTCTCTCATTTAGTGGTAACTCTCTGTCTTCATCAGTGTTACTCTAGACATTTCCCTCAGTAATTATTCTCCGACTCAGTATCAACTCTCTGTCTTCATCAGTGTAACTCTACATTTCTCTCAGTAGTTATTCTCCCACTCAGTATTAACTCTCTGTCTTCATCAGTGTTACTCTACATTTCTCTCAGCAGTTATTGTTCCACTCAGTATTAACTCTCTGACAAGTGACAAGTAGTAACGCTCTAGTTCTCTTCAAAACAGTAGACCAAGGGCAAGGGTTTCCTTCTCCTGAGAACAGTAAGTACTCTCTGTCTTCGTCAGTGTTACTCTATATTTAGCTCAGTAGTTATTCTCCTTACTACATTATATGTGCAAGGCAAATTTCTGGAGAATCGAGTATTTTTTTGTAGTAATAATTTGAATTATAAAGCGACAAAATATTATGTGTTCTCTCTTGGTTTGATTTTTTGAATAACAGCCAGTAATTTTAGAAGGTAAACGGTCAAGCAAAGTGTGCAAGGTCGTTGATGGAGTATTCCATGTGAAATCCTCTCACCAGTCTGAGCCCCACCAACTGAACATCAGAGGACCAACTTGCACCTGCAGAAACTTCAGCAGGACTCACATCCCCTGCAGACATATTTTTCAAGCTATCGATGATGGTTTAATGAAATGGGAGGACCTACCTGAAGATTACAGAAACATACCGTTCTTCGTAAAAGATAAAGGTCTGTTAAATTGATCTGTATGCATGTTTACATTCCAATTTGAATAGACAAGACAAAATTGAGGTTCATAACTCGTTCATGTGCTATGGCCGTGCGTCCGCGTCGATGTAGGAGGTGTGGAGCCTGCTTGTAGAGAAAATATGAAGTTTCCTACAGTAAATATTATTATCAATATCAAAGGCAGGGCATTACTTCGACCTCCGAGGCGAGGTATCCGTGTGGACTCTGGTTGTTATCAGGGTTGGAAAGACAAAGATAATTTTGTCTGTTAAAGTGGGTTATCACTCTCTGCCATCAGAGTCATAAATCACATCTCCGCAGGGTTTGCAAGGTTTTCCCTATTGCTTTGCTTCCAATTCTTATAATAGTCAAAATATAAAATCCGATATTATTTTTGCAGGAAGTGATATTGGGATATGGCCAGCTGATGCAGATGTAAACAAATGCTGCGATTATCCAGCATCAGAAGACGAGGATGAAGAAGTAGAAGATGATGAGGTTGGAGGAAATGGGGATAAAAGAAAGAAGAAACGGGACATAGACTATATAAAGGAGATTGGCGGGAGCTTTCAAACAGAATAACTTCCTTCGTTAATGATCCCGAGTTTGACGTGATGGACGATGATGTCCGTGCATTATTATATAAGAAACTGTCAGATACCGCCAATGATGTGGCATCCTATATTTACAAAAGAAACTAATATAGATAACATAGATAAGATTATGTTTGATAATATATTACTTTAAAAGCCGTGCAATCATTTTAGATATTAGATATTAAACTAACCATATTATGATATTCTCCGTCTAACTATTCGATCTGTCACCATCTCACTATTCAATCTGTCTCAACGTTCATTCTCTGTTTAACTATTCAATCTCTGTCTCAGTGTTCATTTTCTTGTTTAACTATTCAATCTTTGTCTCAGCGTTCATTCTCTGTCTCGACATTCATTTTCCGTCTGACTATTCAATCTGTCTCAATGTTCATTCTCTGTCTCGACGTTCATTCTGCGTCTCACTATTCAATCTGTCTCAATGTTCATTCTCTGTCTCGACGTTCATTCTCCGTCTCAATATTCAATCTGTCTCAACGTTCATTATGTGTTTAACTATTCAATCTCTTTCTCAGTGATCATTCTCTGTTTAACTATTAAATCACTGTTCATTCCTGTCTCGACGTTAATTCTCCGTCTCATTATTCAATCTCTGCATCAGTGTTCATTCTCTATTTTAGAGTTAATTCCCTGTCTTACCTTTCAATCTTTCTCGGTGTTCATTCTCTGTCTGACTGTTCAATTTCTGTCTCACTGTCCATTCTCTGTCTCGCTGTTCAATCTTCGTGTTTCTTTCAAAGTGTTACAGTGACAAGGAGACCGAATGATATTGTTGTAAAATAAAAAGCTTGTCCGCTTTAGTTATAGTGATATTAAAACATATACAACACCATGTATTATGAAATTTTAGATTTTGTTACAAAATATGGACAGTGAATTTGATGTTGTTGTCTAATAATACAAAGATACAAGACGTGAGGCGCGGCGACATTATAAATTTTAGAACTGCCCGCGCATTTTGCTACTTTGCCGCGGCTCCACTAGTTTTTAACGTCTACCCAATCGTTATATTAGGAAATTTTAGTTAATTCTTTGATCACTCTTCAGTGCCGGTGGGCAGGCGCCCCGCATAGTTGGCTTTCCAAATTTACAGTCTCACGAAAGCCGAAACGGTAATCGAGTCCCGGAGCAGAACACACATTTAGAAAATTGAAAAATTAAAATTAAAATTAAAATAACAAATTAGAAATTAAAAATTAAAAATTACATGACTACGAGAGTCCAGACAGGCGACAAACACACAAACCGGACGAAGATAGGACCCACTGCTGAATTCGACATATAATGAATTGTTGAAAACATAATGATTCCTACACTTATATGATCTTGAGGCATGCCCTGCATGTACTGTGCGAGTACATTGTAAATAATATTTGATAAGATGGGCCAAAAATAGCGGCACAGCGCGCAAAATGCGCGGCGTGACCGCCGAAATTTTATACTTTAGACATTAACATTTCAATCGGCTTTAGCGCTCAGCATATCTTCATTGAGTCTAGACATTAGAATTTCAGTTCGTTGGAATCGAAGTTCAGTTCACACCAATCTATTTCGTCGTACCTGGACTGCATGCCGAGTAACTCCTTTTTTATTGTGGATTTTACAAGGTTCGTTGATGTAGAGAAGTTGATATTGCTAGCAGTGTTTCTACAATCGTTCCACATTTTTGTCGATTGATATATGAAGGAGGTGGATGGGGTTGGAGTGATGAATCGATCAGCACGTCTTGATGATCTGTGAAATAGATTTAGGAGTGGGACTGGGGATTCTAATTTATTGATTTTGAACATTTCCAATAAACATGTGTGTTTGAACAAACTGTGTATGGTTAGTAAACCATTTTTCTTAAATAGCGGTTTTGTGTGCTGTTTTTCATAGAAGTCGCTTCCCAATTTTTGCTTGTCTTTACTTCGTGTTCTAGCACAAGTTCTAAACTTTTCTAAGTACGCCTCTCGGTTACCAAATAGTATTCTAACACATTTCTTCGGAGTGATAAATATTGGTTCAAGCCTGTTGTTACTAAGGCCACCCCATACTGATATCCCAAATCGCAAGTGTGATTCAAATATTGTGTAGTACAGTTCTTTGTAGAGTTTTTCTGGAATAATGGGCTCTTTCTAAATCGCTCGCCCAAACCGTAATAACAATTTCAACTTTTGCGCGTCTCCTAAATGCACGTTAGTTATCTGTGATAATTTAATACGGCGAATGTGCCGTATTCTACAAATTTTCCCACTTTCACATTTCAGCTTTGTGTTGAGCGACCGTATATGAGCATCCCATTTAAGCTGATCATCAATAATAACACCAAGAAACTTCACCTTTTTGACTTGCTTTATCACTACATTGTTTAGAGTAAGTACGTGTTCTTCTTCATTATGTTCTCTGCATCACAAAGACGTTCAGACCAGTTCATCACCCCGAACCCATCCTCCTCTTTCATTTATCAATCAACAAAAATGTGGAACGACTGTCGAAAAATTGACAGTTTGATAAGCTTTACTAAGTCAACGAACTTAGTTAAAGTAACACTGAAAAGTGAGCTACTCAAGATACAGTCCAGGTACGAAGAATTAGAATGGACAGAATTAAACTTCGATAAGAATGAGCTCGTATTTTAAAACAGAGTCCTTTGACTTTATTATTTTGAAATTGAAGAATCGTCTGGCCATAACTCATTTCGTTCGCATTATAGATTCACACTCACTTTCATTTTCACTATCACGCACAGTACAGGGTCATACCTCAATACCAAATTATTACAGGGCACAAGAACAAATTTGTTTACAATTATCAAAATTTGTTGAGCCCAGCAGCTTACTTCCTTTCCTCTCTTCCCCTGTCGTCTGGAGCGTGTGATGTTTGTTGATATCCGAGCTCTTATTTTTATCTTTTGGTTAACTTTCTGTGATTGGACTCGGTATCTTTGTCCCGGCCGAGTGGGACGATGCTTGCTCGCCAGTTAAGCTATACTGTAGATGACAGTAATTTCTACAAACCACAAAATATTAAATATAAAATGTGTCCAGTATGGCGCAAATGCATAATTTGATAATTTCTCGACGCTGTCGTCAGGGTGAGAGTTATCTGAACCAACTGCATGCCCCTACGATTGCGTCACCACTGGTGAGCAAGCATTTGTTTGTTGTTTAGTTGTGTTGAAAGGGAACATTACTTGATTAATTCATCCATTCGGATTTTAATAACGATGAGCTATGATATACCGTTCATCTTAGACTATTGGATCAATCTTATTATATGATTAGATTTTATTAACGAACTTGGCACACAAAAGATTATAATGCGGAGGTTGGCTGGCTCTTCTATAATAAATACGACACTTCAATTTACAGAATGCTTGCTAGAGATAAGACAAAATATTATCAGACTATACATGCAGCATGAGTAACTGGTGGATAAGCCTTCGGTAAAAACGGATCCGGAAAAGTCAATGCGGCACTCGGGTCCTTGGTATTGTCGTCGGTATATTGTCCATTATCTACGTTCTGCTTTCGTAGTTTAAACAATAGTGAGTTCTAAATATACAGCTTTAAACCGATTAAGTATGAATGAATGAAATACCTGACAATCCGCACTCTTATAATCCAAAAGCATGAGTAACTCATCTAGTGATGTATGATTTCTAGAAACTTTAAATTAATTTTGGCGCTCACAGGTCCTCATAAATATGTGATCGCCGCATAAGTTTCTGTAAATGCGCAGGGCACCTTCAAGCTTAAATTATTCACCTTACTGAGGCAGTCAACCAACGCGCGGCTTTATTTTTATGATATGATATGTTTTGATTGTTATTAATAAATACCAAAATTTAAATTTGTTTTCCTAAAAAAAAAAATTTGTTTTCCTTGCTTTTTCTATTCGTTGGTTTAAAGTGAATGTAACAGCATTTCTTAATGTTAATATGCAGGAGATTACATTTCATATACAGTTGTACCAGTTTGAGAATTTGGTTTGCTCGTTCATATAACTTTATCTTACATTCATCCGCGACAAATATATTTGTATCGTCAGCAAATAGAATGAACTTGCCTAGTTCAGTTGCCCTATATAGGTCGTTGATATAAATAATAAATAGTAACGGACCAAGACAAGATCCCTGGGGTACTCCAAAGAGAACTGGAAGCTTGTCAGACTCTTCTCCTAGGACCGAAACGTATTGATATCTATTAGAGAGATAACTAGCAATGAGTTTGTTGGCATTGCCTCGAATTCCGTAATTATCTAGCTTACTCAGTAATTTGTCAGCTGAGATGGTATCGAATGCTTTGCTTAGATCAATGAATATTCCGAGCACGTGCTGCTTTTTATTAAGGCATGATTCTATATAATTCACTGAGAAATTCAGGGCATGACTTGTAGAGTGATTTTTACGGAATCCATACTGATTTTCATAGATCATATTCAGTGGCGTAACGTTACTTTGTGCCGCCCCCCTGCTAATTGAAATTTGCCGCCCCTATCCGGAGCCGGCTCGCTTCGCTCGCCGAGATTTGTCCGTCGCGTGAAGTTACAGTGTAGTGGGTATACTGTGTAATCAGTAATGTTTACCAACACGACGTCTAAGAAAACAAAGCAAATTAAATTTTGACCAAGACGCGCGCGTGTTAAACCCACGAAATATTAAAATCGAGCCGCGCATAGGCAGCAAAAATATACCATTATATCGACCTCTATTCATTTTGTGCGCGTTCGCGTTGGATAAAATTTATTCACGTGGTCTGCTGCTTGCCTTGTGATTGGAGGAAATTGCATGTCAGTCGATGATATCAATGCGAGACACCGATACACGACGCACGTGTAGTTATCAGAATGCTAATCGTTTGTTATCTTGGTTTTACCGTATGGCGTGTGCCCTAGAATGTACTCTACTACGTCTTGCGTCTACCGTCTGGCGAGTGGCGTCTACGTCATACGTGTACATTGTTGATTGTTGATTGTTGATAATTGATTGATGATTGTAATTGTGTAAACTGTAGACTTGTTGTCACTTGTGACTTCTGAAATCTGAGTTCTGACTGCTCACTGCTGACTGCTGAGTGCAGAAACTAAGCCGTTATCTGATAAGTTCCATGCCCATGAGCTATCAGTTGACAGTAAACAGTTATCATTTATCGTTATCTGCTATCACTTAAAAGTTATCAATCTTAATCTTGAATCTTAAGTTTTAATTTAAGTAAATTGTTGATCAATTCTATATTAAGTATTTCAACAGCTCATTCAGATCTCGTATTATTAACGGTATAGTAAAGTGTAAACGGTTGTTAATCTTATAGATCAATAATCAATTCAATTGACTCCATTGTTAACCTGCAGTGTGCAGATTGCCACGACTAACTGCTATGACTAGTTTTTAGTAATGAATTGCAATATTGTGAACTCGACCGTCGACGTTCAATTTTGTTGATTGATCATTGATCATTGATCGGAATTGCCTAAGGTCAGCGGTGCTTTCGCCTTTCAGCTTTGCGCTGGCCGGTTCACGAGTCACAGTATTAATGATGTTTTTGTATGACGTTTGTTGATAAGTTAGGTCTTAGCCCTTAGGATTTAATCCCTGAGGGCTGATTTGCATTACTGTCGCATGGATATTTTCAGAGTCCGCCGTCCGGTCAAATGGGAAACTGGAAGGACTGCAAGCGCTACTGTATTCTTGGTCACGTACCCACTTGGGCCACCCGACTTTCGTCTTACAACGTGAACTTCGTAAGTTAATATTAGTTATAACGTTTATTCCTGTACTGATGTGCAATATCCTACCCAGTACCCCTACTGAAGCATGTGTTAAAGTTAGCTTTAGCCTTTAATGTAGTTGACTCATCACTTGACATAGATTTTTAAAGCATGT